TTTTGTACTTCTGTAATTATCTCACTGCTTTTGTTTATTTCTGTTTGCGTGGTGTTTTGGACTCTGTGTTCTGAAAGCAAGCACTTCTTTGTGCATCAGCAAGCTTTATTAAAATGTTCTGTTCTTCTGCATTTGGTTCTTTTTAAATTATCTGATGATTCAGACGCTTGGAACGCCTTAAAAATGAAAATGTCATTCTTTTAGCAACATTTCAGTGTGATTTGTCACGTTTCAGTATCTGTGCATAAAGAACAAAAGCAGCCATTTACCACTGGAACAATAAAGTAGTGAAACTTATGCTTTCTGGATTCTTGTTGTAGATGCAAGCTTGCTACGTTGCCCTTTCTGCCCCAGGTTTCCATCGTGTTTTCTTCTGTGGTGCCAGGAAATGAAGCAAGGCAGCGCGAGTCCCCGGCTCGTCAATGCTGCCTCTGAATTTGTCATTAAAACTAATTCCAGGGATTCTGGGTCAAAATTTTAAAATGCATGTTCAGTTTTTTTCTTTTGACATGTTGTTTCCAGGTCGTGACCACATTTGATTTTTTTTAAAGCCCTCTGTACATCACACTGTTTTAATATACATCTACTCCTCCATCATTCCTCTCTGTCACGTCAGCTTAAAGAACAAAGATTGTGCAAATTTGAATGTACATTTCTTTTATTTAACACCTCTGAAATAATACAATCATTCTTAACTGCAGCTCAAAGAAAGTTCAAAGTTTCCACACATATTTCTCTTTTCATGAGATTTGAGCTCCTGACAAGTTTCAAAATGCTCAAATTTCTGTGTAGCCTTGCTCAGCACGCCCGAGCGAAAGCTGCAAATGAACGACTCGACTGTGGGAACGTTTGATAATGGAATCATTTCAGCAGACAAATTTAGCCAAATTTTGAAGGGAACGTATTCACAAGCGAGCGGTAAGAGTTACGCACCATACAAGCTGGTCATTTTTTAGTACAAACACACATAGATACATATATACACACGCACACACACAAAAGCTCGCCCGTTCATTGACATATATGCATTATGCATTTAGTGAACAAGCAGAGTGGCACAGTAGTCCATGAATGGATCACATGGATCACATGACATAAGCATCCAGAAGAGCGTGAGTCACATGTCGACTACGACGCAGCCACTTGAGTTAAAGGTTCCTCCAGATACTGGACCAGTGCTTCTGCCTA